CGGGTCTTTTCTGAGAGTCGGTTCTTGACTGAAAATGCTGTTGGGGCGTCACAGAGAAGTACTTAGGAATAGGCAACCAGCCTGGACGGCCGGGGCCCTCCCAGCTGTCTACAACGTCCGTACCCACATCCGTTTGGCTGGATGAATTTGTCCGCGCTGTCGCAGAATGGCTACTTTTCGAAAAGACTGAAAATGATGATTGTAGATCATACGGGCAACTTTTGGCAGAGGGTCGGTCATCTCCAAATTCTCACCCAAACTGAGAAAGCCATTGACTAATAACTTTCTTGGCCTTTTGGCGAAGATCAAGTGTAGTATGATGTACGTATTCAGGTCAGTGTTATCCAATCCAAGGTCCATCTGGCCGCATGACATTATATTGTTTTAATTTATTTTTTTTTCGGTGTTATGGAGGGGGGGTCACAGGGGTAGGCTTGCCTTCTCGACCCCTCCAGCTTGCCTTCGTATTGCATTGCAGCGGAATGTAGCACGGCCCATCGCCCATGGGACGAACAGGAAAGAAATAAAAAAGAGAAGCCATTGACTAAAAGCATAGTAAGAAGGGCATCTGGCCACAAGACAAGGAATGCTTCTCGGACGTGCTTAACTTGTCTACCAAGTAATCCCTGTGTGAGTGTGTCCTAACTACTAAGAATTATAAACTGGCGCTCTGTAACGGACTCGAACAATAGTACTTTCTGTTCTTTCGAGGCATTTAGAGATGCTCTCCTGCCCTTGAGAGGAGTGACAACAGACTTTCAAGTTCAACCTATCTTACGAACAAAAAAGAACATGATATTACGTCTGGGCTTTCATTTCTTCCTGTGTGATGTGTTGCTGGTGATCAATCAGGAGGCAGAGCGGCATGTGCAGGGGCACCTGTTGTGTCTTCGAATGCGTGCGTCTAAGGACTTCATTTCTCTCTGTGTGATGTGCCACTGCTGGTATAGCCTCAACATCGTCGACAAACCACCGCCACTGCAGCCCTGATGGCAGTGGCGACCTGCAGTGGATCATTCGGAGAAGGAATTCTCCACGGGGTCTGGGACCCCACAGGTTACCTCCCACTTCCATTCCCAGAGAGTCCCACACATGGGCATACACACGACATGCCCATGCACGTGGTGCTCTACACGCAGGACTCCCACTTCCATTCCCAGAGAGTCCCACGCATGGGCGTACAACACGCAGGGAGAGACTGCCCTAAGGTGTTGACAGTTTACGGCCGCCGTTTACTGGGGCTTCCATTCAAAGCTTCTGTGAGGAATTCATTTGTAAGTTCACAGAGCAGCATTCCCGAGAAAAAGGACCAGCCCCAGGGGGAAGCTTGAAACAACATCCTTGTGCCATGTATGTACGCGGAACAGACACGTTGGCAGTGGGCAGGGGCATGATACGTAACTGAACTGTACACAGAGTCAGGGGCATGATATGTATCTGAACAGTAAACAAAGTCAGGTGAGTTCTGACACGGTTAGCCTTGTTGTTGTGTATGGGCAACTCACAAACAAGGAAGGAACCCAAAATTGTTTGATAAATGACCAGGCGTGAGGTACTGAGCAACTGAATGTGGATGTGTTTTACGCACAAATGCAGAAAAGCAGACAAATCGCCATTTTCTGCACCTTTTGAAAAAAACATCCACATTCAGGCAATCAATCCAACACATGGGACCTTGGCCCAGAGGATCGAGGGCAATAAGAAAACCTGGAGGATAAAAGCAAAAAGAAAAGAAAAAGAAATGGAAAGCACTAGGGGAGTACACAAACCCTTCAAAAGTGTGCAATTTCTACTTTGGGATGTAGGCTCATTGTCAAAAAAGAGAGGTGTTTTTGAAACACCCCACCCACTCACCCACCCACCCACCCACCCACCTTGCCGGCCTTGTTTTTCACTCTTGGATCAGCACCCGCTGCTACCAGCTGCTCAACCACCTCTAAATGCTGTCCTCTCGCCGCATGGTGCAGAGGCTGTTTTTCAACAGAGCAGCAAGAAACCGAAAGCCAATCAAAAGATGATGTTAATCAACTCTCACAAGATCAAACTAGAATCATAAGTCCCCCCAAGCAGCCACCATGTCCAACCAGACCATTAGGTTCTGCCACTCGGTCGGACCCAGCAGGTTTGAGGTTTGAACCAGCAGGTTTGGAGTTTAAACCACGAGTACACGGCTCCAGCCTTGCAGTTCGAAACTAGTTGCCACAAGAAAACGAGGCCGACACATCAAGCGCCGGGCCTGCTGTTGATATATTGGATTGGATTGGATCGGCGGTCGCATTTTCGTTTCGCGCCTCTGGAATTCAAGGTGTCAGGCCCGCAGCCCAGGTAGCCGTGTGCTGCTGCTTTAAAGGAGCATGTCGGAACCAACAGGTTTGAACCAGCCGGTTTAAACTCGCAGCTGTGATCCAGCAGGTTCAGAGACCACAAGTTTTTTGAACCACCAAGTCCCAATCAGTTGGTCTCCACCTGCAGGAGCTGAGGAAAAGCAAAGATACTTCTCAGATAAACTTTCATAACCGTGGTTTTAACTTTTAATAGCTTTATAACACCCATGCAGAATCACGCTCCATGCACGTGAGCAACAATTGTCACTGTGGAAAAACATGGCACTTTGGAATACTCTGGCATGCAAGATCACGAGGATAACAATGCATGCAACCTGACTGGCATCACTCTCATGAGCACATGCACTGTAAATGATTGTAATTATTATTGTAATTTAATAATTTAATATTTATCATTTATAAGCTGACAATATTACAGACACTCCTTGCTGGGTCTCGAACACAATACTAAATTAGTGGATTCCTGCACAGCCTTTTTTATGGAAAACAAAAGAAGCAATTCCTGATTATTCCCCCCCCCCCATGAAATGGAGAAAAGGAAAAGGGTCCACTTCATCGATTAACTAGCTCCAGACGAGAAAAGGAAAGGGACTCTTTCGGTCCCGGTCTTTCGCGGCATTAGCCAAAAAAGACCGTGCCGTTTGCGGCCGTATTTGGCGGATTACAGGGTTTGCGTAACGATGGATGTTACTGATGTTGTACGCTTCTTGTCAACTTGCGCAGTGTGAACTTGTGTGATGACTTTTGCTCATTACCATGTCTGTTCCACTTTGTTGTACTTATCTTCATAACCTCTTCATAACCAATTTACGACCATAAAAAAAAAAAAAAAAAAAAAAAAGAACGTCGACAAAAGTTGGGCACAACCCTTCCTCAGGCATAAGACAACAAGGAAATATTTCCGAAATAATAATCAAAATGGTGAAATTCAGAAGTCCATTGTTCAAAGAAAAAGAACAGCAACACGCCACAAGAAAACATGAAATTCTGGTTTTAAATTTTAATACCATTTTATTGAATTTCGTCCTTTTGGCCAAGTAAGATGCAACATGCCACAAGAAAACATGAAATTCGGCCTTTTGGCTAAGTAAGATCAAGTGTCGTATCTGTTGAATTCTGTTCTGAATCTTCTGATCAGTTTAGTTATTTTTAATATCTGATCCGTGGTCCATCGGACCAGGCGATACTAAATTAATTTTTCGGCAGAGCGCAGTGCAGGGGAAAATAATTATTTTAAATTATTTTTTTATTTTTTTTTTAATGTTTGTTTTCCCCTGCACTGCGCTCTGCTGCAGTGCAATACGGAAGCAACACTGGAGGGGTCGAGTTACGGAGGAGTAATACGGGTAAGCTCTCTTACTCGACCCCTCCAGTGTTGCTTCCGTATTGCACTGCAGCAGAACGCAGTGCAGGGGAAAACAAACATTAAAAAAATAATAATAATAAATTAAAATAATAAAATTCTTGTATTATTGCTGGGCATGGATTGGACCAGATTTTCCAATTTCCAATTGCCTTATTTATTTTTGTTGCCATTGTGTGTTTCCCTCTTTCTGGGCCTTGCCACACCACTCAGGAAACAAAGGAAGATGCCGCGTGCATCTACCCATGAAGCTAGAGACTTCAAATCTTTTATTTACTAAAAGTTAGTTAAAACAGCAAGGATGGATCATGCAGATACCTCGTCCAAGGACGCACGAATACCTGTGCACAAACATGGAGCCAAACCTGTAGCTCGACTACCGTCTTCCCCCGAATACAACGTACGGTGATTTTAGCTGAATTTAGACTGAAAGATCCACCAAATTCAGCTATAATGACCGCCCATTGTATTCGGGGGAAGACTGTAGTTCGTCATTGGTGCCACTTCGTGGAGATCTCCTTCGTCCGCTAGCATGCACCGATTGTCGAGAAGGGGGGGGGGGGGAAAGACAAAAAAAGAAAAGAAAAGGATCAAAGTAAAACACTCACCATGGCACCACTCACGAAACAAAAGAAGATCCGCGTGCATCTACCCATGAAGCTGGCGACTTCGATCTTTTTCTAAAACGGTAGGGATGGATCGTGCAGATACCTCGTCCAAGGATGCACGAATACCTGTGCACAAACATGTAGTCAAACCTGTAGCTCGACAATTTTGTCATTTGTGCCACTTTGCGGAGATCTCCTTCGGGCCCTAGCATGCACTGATTGTCGAGAAGGGAAAAAAAAAAAAAAAAAAAAAAGGGAAAAAAA